AGACAGAGAGCGAAACACAAATATAAATAAAGATCGATATGGCAGTGCGTAGTGTCAGTGGTGAAAGGTACGAATCCTTTGTGTTTAGTGATCTATTTCATATCGTTTATCGCATTCGACAACTGGAACAATGAACTTTGTGGCTGATAAAAGGATACAAAAAATGCGAGCAATTTGTACGCGATATTTCGAGCGATCGTTTCAAGCAGATGTTAGTATTAACGCATTCATCGCCAATGTGACTAGTTAGTCACATGAATGATGATAGTCGGGTATCGAGTGGACCGATCGGTCACACGCAATCGAGGTCTTTGGAACAAAAAGGGCGAAAAATTTTACATAGTTTTTTGTTGCAGATTCTATTTCATTTTGAAAAAATATTATCTTTCATTTGGTGCAAAAAGAAGTTAACTCTCAGTAATAAATAGATATAGCGTCTTCCACACTCCTCATTAAATGATTCCAACGGTATAGAAAGCGAATTATCTAAAGGTGATCTTTAATATCCCATTATATCATTAGAGTACTATTTATTGTTTCATTATAATATTGGTTATAATAAAATATACTCTTTTTTAAATTTCTTTAGCAAGTACTTACTGTTCTTTCTTAGTTTGGCAGAAAAAAAACAGCTTCAATATTTATATTATATTTATTGAAAAACTAAGAAAGTCATAGATTTTATGTTCACTGCAAAAATTTATTAACATGTATGTTACCTGACCATACGTTTATAAAACGTTTGATACAGAATTTGATTTTTAATCGATTTATTTTCTCCCAATAATAAAAATTATTAGGAAGTGCAGCTATCTCCTTATTTCAATAATTCTTTTAATTTTTATTTAAAACATTCACTGCCAATGTGACTAATTGCTCGCTTTGACGCCGACAAGGAAACCTAGTCTTCAGTGACAATCAGACCAATAGATTCCATGCTTCTTCTACAATACTAATTCATTGAGTTATTACTCAGCAGTTAATATTCACCTAAAAAAGAATTTCGAACCAGATTTACAATTTTCTCAGTAACACATTTACTTGCTGTTGAAACTATTAACTTGCCCCATAATATTCTCTCTTTTCTTTAGTTTGATGGATCTTTTAACCCTTTACATTCGCATGTCATGCTGGAGATGACAATACAGATTTGTTATAGAACATTGGAAATTCTTTTGAATAGTAGCACACTTTAAAAGATTATAAAAATTAAATCTTATTGCAATAATAATAAATAAAATAAATATAAAACGTTGAATTCTACCGCTAAAAATTAGTTTAATTCATTTCCTTAAAAATAAATACAAGTTTACACCTAAAAATATTGAAAATAAAGATTTTAGAAGAACAAAGACGTAAAGTTCTCTTATCCTCTTTTTGTGAGACAGAAGAACTTTGTTTCTCTGTTATTCGAAAATAATCACTGCGGCATTACAGTGGGATCGCGTCGTTCATGTGCATGGGCTCTTAGGAAAACATTATCAGGCTTCCGGTGAAACGGAAAAAAGATAATCAGAACGAATTGTTCATAATTCAATAATCCATCATTGAACATAAAATACTGTGCACCCGTCGTGTATTAACATGTTGAATGCCATGGGGGTCACCAGTGACCCCCGACCAAACCAAATTATTACAGCCCATTCAATTAAATGATGGTTATTTGAAAACCTTTCTATTATAAATAATGCTATCTAATGCGGCGACATTCAGCGAGATAAACGTGCAATAATAATAATGATTTCGCTATGTGAAATCGTGCGGCATCCAACGTGTTGGTAAACTCAAAAAAACTTGTCGAACAACCTAATAATACGATGCAGCTTACGAATTCCCAAAACCGTTTTAAAAAGCGAAAAAACAAATGCACCTAGCCAGATAAATTGGTAACGAGTGTGTTAACAGGCGCGTACACGAAACGTTCGGCGATCATCGTAGTCCTCTACAGTAATCGATCGTCATAATGCTTTCACGTCATTGACAACTGTCGAGCGTTGGAGCTCGCCACCAGGGGCTGTCACGAATCAAAAGCGGTCTCGCCTCGATGAGATCCTGTCCACCAATTACTGGCTTTGATTGGCCGCTCATTAATGCGGAACCCGTGCCGTGTCATCCCCTATCCTGTCTTACGTCCACTGACGCCGGTAGACGTCTTGCGGATCGGTGTCGTGTGTCGAAGACGACCGGAAGCTGGCCGAGCTAAGTGGCGTGCAGCATGGAGGCTCGAACTTGGACGTTTAAACTAATTAACGAGCTCTCCGCCGGCCGATTAGACGGAACAGCGTGATTCTAGCGTTTCGACCCTCCTCAAAGTCGACCGGCTAGCATTTAGCTCGTCCGAGTTACCATTCCCCGGCGTCGATGTCATGGCTGGCTATCTAAAGGAAGTTTAGAGACGCTCCTCGATGCATATAATGTTTGACGTGATACCGACGAAGACTGCGGTTTGGAACACATTTCTTTTTCGGTTGCGCTCGTCTAAAATTCTGTTTTCGACGTGGAATTAACACTAGGTTTACGGAACGCGTCAATTTGACTGATATTGAATTTTATAATTACTATTTGGTAAATTTTGGCTCTGACTGATGCAATTGCACCAGTATGTACACTCTGTTTGACAAGAGCGTGTCCGGCAAAACTCGAAAACTATTTAGGATATCGGGTTCGAAAAAAATACACAAATTCTTTATGGTGTATACTAAGATGCGTTATTATTAATATGGTGCCCAGTCACCGCCATTATCAATAATTAATTTACATCTTCGAGGCATACTTTCTACTAATGTAATCGCATAATCACGAGATAAGGACCTCCATACCAATCGAATTTGACGAATCAGCTTCTTGATCGTGTTGTGCTTCTTTCCTCTGAGCTTGATCTTCATGATTGCCCAAACATTTTCTATTGGATTTGCATCCGGCGACTGTGAAGGCTAATCTAGTACATCGATGTGATTTTCCTCTTTCCAGGCTGTACAGTGTCGACTTCGATGTTTTGGGTCATTATCCTCTTCCAGTAGCCAATGTTTATTATTTCTTATAAACCACCTCTGGGCAGATGGTAATAAGGCTCTCTGATAGATTTTGACCATTTTGGCAGCGTTTAAATTGTCAGTGAATACGTGCAAAGTACCGAATCTCTGCTTCGAGAAGCAACCCCAAACATGCACCCTTACCGGGTGTTTAACGGTTCGCTGAAGGAGTTTATTGGCGTGGTTACACCAGGTATGGGTTATAAAAGTATGTGCCCAAAAAGAAGTTTCGTCCGAAAAAATTACATTGTCCCAATCACGGTTCAAATTTTCATTCGCCCAAGCGAGTCTTTTTGTGACATGTTTCTCGGATAGTAGCAGTTTCTTTATTGTGCTTCTAAATTTCACATTATTTGCCAATAATCGTCTTCTTATCGTATCACATGACAATTTCAAACCCTTTCTACATAAAACTGTCTGTCCACTACGTAACGATAGACGGGGATTCTTCTCGAATTCGCGTAAAATCAATTTATCCTCTTTCTTCGTCGTCTTTGACTTAGTGCCACGATTTGGTAGGTCATCGACGTTTTTGACCTCCAAATATCGTTTCACCCACTTACTAACAAATGTCTTCGATTTCTTCATGTATTTAGCAGCCGCTGTGTATGACATTTTTGGTCCTTTAGGATGGGAACACAGAAACACTGCTTCGTAACGTGATGCGTACGCGGCACTCATAATGAAATGCGTCGTTTTACGAATAAGCTCGATCAACAACTGAAGGTTTTTTGTACAAAGCATCTTAGGGAAACATTCAAGTTACCTGCTTGAAGTGGAATTTCTTACCTAAGACATCGCAGGTAAGAGTTTTGCCGTACACGCTCTTGTCAAACAGACTGTATCTCAGTTATCTATTTTTAAACCTCTAACTTCCAAAATTCGAATAAACGAATATGAATTTTTATAGGAGCAGTAGAATCAAGCGTACAATAAACGTTCGTAAACCTAGGGTTAATAATGTCGAAGAGAATAAAAGAAATAAAGAAATGCGATGCTTGTTTCAGCTTGAAGTTTAGTGAAGATGCAGTATGAAATGCACAGAGTCTCTTTGATTTTACTTGTAGTATTATAATATTGTTACAGTATAATAATAATTTAGTTAATGTAATAGTATTTCAATGTAATATTGTAATATTATTATATATTATTATATTATGACATTAATGTAAACAAGTAATACTCTTGTAATACTAGCAGCATAATGCTGCAACAGAACTTCAGTAGCGTTTGTACCCTAAAACTCATTTTATCTAGTGATGCAATCATTCGCGATTAGTTATGATACACCTTTCTTTCAAATAAATAAAGCAGAAGATGATAGTAAAATAAGAAACGCGGCAGAAGTTAAATGACCAAAAACAGGTTCACTGAAGCACATAGCTGCTACTTACGTCTCCACGTGTT